GAGGCGACGCCCGAGCGCTCGTACCGGGAGCAGCTGTGCAACCTGAACGGCATCGCGCAGCCGCTCGCCTCGCGCAAGCTCACGCGCAAGCTCTACAAGTGCATCAAGAAAGGTGGGGGCGCCGGGCCGGCCCCGGGCGGGCCGGGTCTGGTCGGCTCTGGTCGGTGCGGGCCGCTCACGGCGCCGCCGCTCCGTGCCCTGCAGCCGCCAAGCACAGGCAGATCCGGCGCGGCGTGAAGGAGGTGCAGAAGTTCATCAACAAGGGCGAGAAGGGGTAAGCGGCGCCCGGCCCGGCCCGGTGGCACCGGCGCCGCGGGCTCACGCGGCCCGTCTCCCGCAGGATCGCGGTGCTGGCCGGCGACACGCTGCCCATCGACGTCTACTGCCACATCCCCATCATGTGCGAGGAGCGGAGCCTGCCCTACGCCTACGTGCCCTCCAAATCGGTGAGGGGGCCGGGMCGCCCCGGGGCGGCGGGACAGCGGCCCCGCGGCAGCGCCGGCCCCGCGGTGCCCTCAGGGCCGCGACCCGCCGTGCGCTCTCGGTGTAGAAGGCACGAGGAGGGGTCGTGTCCGGGGGCTGCGCTTCAACCCCGGCTGCCGCTCGCCCCATGGGCACAGCGGGTGGCCGGGTCAGCACCGGGGCCCCGCTCACAAACACCAGCCCCGCGTCCTGCGCGCGGGAGGCGGCCGGGGAGCCGGGGGAGGCGCCCGCCCCATGGAGAGGGTGGTGGAGTCACCTGCAGCATCAGCCCGGCCTCTGTCCCCGCAGGACCTGGGGGCCGCGGCCGGCTCGAAGCGCCCGACCTGCGTGATCCTGCTGAAGCCGCACGAGGAGTACGAGGAGGCCTACGGCGAGTGCCTGCAGGAGGTGGAGGCGCTGCCGCTGCCGCTCTGAGGCCGCGCGGCCGCTGGCGGCCCAGCGGGGCTGTGGGGGGCGCGGGGACAAATAAAGGTGTGCGGGTTTGTAAGGGGTGTGAGTGGTGCTGGGGYGGGGAGCGGGGCCGGGACAGGACCGGCCTGCCCGGGATACCTGCCCTGGGACACCCCYGTCCTGCCCAGGACACCCCCGCCAACATCCCCAGGCTGCCCGGGCCACCACCCCCGGGATGGGCCCTGTCCTGCTCGGGGCGCTCCCCCGGGCCCAACCCGAGGTGCTCACAAACCCCTTCCCCCGGGATGGGCCGTGTCCTGCCCGGGACATCCCCGCCGGGATGGATCTGTCTTACCCGGGACACCCCCCCTCGGGACACCCCCCCCCCCGGGATACCCCCCCGGACACCCCCCGTCCCGGCAGGGGGCGCCCGCGCGCCGGGCTGGGAGGAACCATTCCTCGCCCTGCGGGGGGGCACGAGGCGAGGAAGCGCGCTGAGAGGGTCTGGGCTAAACCATTGCCGAGGCGGGGGCGCTGGGATAAACCACGGCGCGGATCGGGGGGGGGGGGGACCTGCCCGGGCCGCCCCGCGGGGCCCCGCTGCCGCCGCCCGGCCCTGCCGCCGCCCGGCCCTCGCCCCCGGGCGCCGCCGAGGAAGCAAGCGCGGGGCTGGAAACTCCGGCTTTATTGCAGGAAAGGGGAGCCGGGTACAGGGAGCAGGGCGAGGGGGCAGCAGGGAGCAGGTCCCGACTCTCTGTGTCCTCCTGCRAGACCACCACGGCACAAGGCACCTTCCCAGCCCCAGGACACCACCGCCACCCCGCTCCGCTGCGGAGCGTCCGGATAGCCCACGGGAGAGGCCGTGGGGCAGCGCCCTGTCCCACCACTGCCCRGCTTTGCTCGCATGCGGCCCCTGCACCGCAGAGCAGCCTAGGCCGGGCCCAGGGCCCTGCTGCCAGAGCGGCYGCCGCCAGCGCCTGCCCAAGCCCCAGCACAAGGCCGGGCTCTGGGGGGCAGTGGGGACAGGGCTTGGCCTCAGCAAGGACTTAASTTAGGGAGTGTAGGGGAGAAGGAAKGCCGAGCAGGAGAAATAGGAGGTTTCTCACTAGCTGCTTGGTTTCTGCCCCCTTGGCAGAAGGGATCACGGGGCAAACGCTCCCACAGTCAGTGCGTAGGGCACATGCAAGACCCCCAGCCTGGCGCGAGCAATCCCCCGCCCCGGGCCGCTCCAGCTGGGCCCGAAGTGCTGCAAGGAGGAGAATYGCCCTTGTCGCCATCAGTCCTTCTCCCCCGGCAGCACCGCACRGCCGCTCCTTGCACGGCCCCTGAGATCAGCCCATTGCAGCAGCAGCAAGAGATCTTCCCCCGTCACAGTTCCGTGGGCCTCTCGCCCCTCAGATCTTGGAGGACTCGACCCGCTCGATCCAGGGCGAGTCGGCTCCCGTGTCCCTGGGCTCCGACCGCAGCTGCCGCAGCTCCCGCTCCAGTGCCTGGCTCCGGTGGTACATGTCCATGTAGCTGGCCTGGAGCTCCCGCTGGTACCGCAGCACCTTCTCCTTCTCCKCCTGCCAGGTTTTCCTCTCCAGCTCAAAGTTCACCGCTTGCAGCTGGCCCTGGCGCCGCTCGCGCAGCAGCTCTGCCCACAGCCACTCCACCTGCCTCTCCAGCGGCTCCGCGCTGTCGCTGTGGAGGCCCCGGCACTTGGAGTCGTCGGTTTCGCAGCCAGGGAAGTCCTGGCAGGCGGGCATGGGGTCGTCACCCAGCGCCAGCGGGGCGCCRGGCCCCGTGGCGCTCTGCAAGGAGTCTGCCAGCTGGGCCAGCTGCGAGTCCCGGGCCTGCACCTCAGCCTTGGCCTCGCGCAGCTGCGTTTTCAGGCTGAAGATCTCACCCAGCTTCTGCGCCATCTCCTCCTGGGTGTCGCGGAGCTGCTGCTTGAGCAGGGCGATCTCGGCTGCCTTCTGGCACACCTGCAGGGCACACGGAGGGCTGAGGAGGGGCCCGGGCAGCGGGAACCTCCGCCGCTGCCGGACACGCGCGGCAAGGGCGCTCACCTCCCACTTGGTCTCCTCCAGCTTGGGGCTGACGCGCTCGCCCTGGGCCTGCCGCAGCTTGGCCTCCTCGCACTGGCACTGCTGCATGCTCAGCTCCTCCTGCAGCCGCTTCTTCTCCTGCTGGGCCTTGTAGAGCTGCAGCTGCAGCGCCCGCTGGCCGCGCTGCGCCTGCTGCGCGACCTGCTGCAGCCTGGCCACGTACATCTGCTTCAGGTCCTCCAGCTCGTCCAGCCACAGCCGCTGCTTGTCCTCGAAYGCCTGTCGGCACAAGCGGACACTTCCAGGGGTCTGTATCGCTGCCCTGCATGGGGCAGCCCCACGGGAGGATSTCAGGTCTCGTGGACCAAGTGCTCCTCTTGGAGAAGCCCCTCTGGGCCAGGCTCTTCCCAACTCCAGCCCAGGAGCAGCAGGTTCAGCAGCAGGTTCCCACCCTGGTTTGGCTGCAGGCGCTCCCACAGCAGCACCCACCACACCAGCTCCTGTACTTGGACCCTTCCAGCCCATCTCCCACTATAGCAGCACATCCCAGCCCCATCCTGCCACCMCTAAGGCAGCCGAGCCCCCGGAGCAGCCCCGCCGCCCGGCTCACCTGTGCGAAGGGGTCTTCGGTCTCGCTAAGGCTCCTCTTGAGCTGCCGCAGCTCTCCGCCCGTCTCCTGCAGCCGGTCCTCCAGCTGCTTCACCGCGTCCTCCAGGGAGTAGGAGAACTCGTAGGGCGGCGGGGGCTCCCCGGGGCTCTGCAGCCGGCTCAGCGTGGCCATGCTCTTGCAGGACACAGGRGCCTTCTCGGGGGCCAGCGGCTCCCTGGGGCTCCGGGACACCCTGTCCAGGGAGCCCCCGATGTGGTTGATGTGGCCCATGGAGGCGCTGAACTGGCTCTGCGCCGGCTTGAGGCGGGAGCCGTAGGAGGGGAAGCTCTGGATGGAGTTGTGGCTGGAGTCGGAGGCCTCGTCCAGGCTGATGGCGTGGAGCAGGTGGGAGCGGAGCGGGCCGGGCGGCGGCGCGGCCGTGCTGCTCTGCGACAGCAGCGTGTGCAGGCTCCCGTTGCTCTTGGACAGCTTCTGCCCCTTGGACGAGGACAGGCCCTGCATGGAGACCAGGCCCTTCCCTGCCACCGCCTTGAAAGCTGACGGTCTGATACGGCACTGCAGGGAACAACAGTGGGGTCAGGTTGTGCCCACGCCAGTGCCCAGAGCCCTGGCTCCATCCGGAGCCAGGGAAGAGAGGCCCTGGGCTCCCAGTTGCTTAACTGGGACAGGAGATGCCTACGGATGCCCTCAAAATCGCTGTTCCCCCCCGGGCGGCGGTGCTGCCGGGCTCACCTTGTCGAAGCGGCCCCTCTCGGGCAGGGAGCTCTTGGAGAAGTCGGCCCCGCGGGGGTGGTCGCGGGCGCCGCGCTCGGGCGAGCGGTTCTCGCGGTCGCTCTCGTAGTCCCGCTTGTAGCAGGCGGCGGCCGCCTGGTGCTTCCGCTCGGCGCGCGCCTCCTTCCTGGCCCCGTGCAGGTAGCCCAGGAGCTCCCGCTGGCCCGGGCCCTTGCGGAGCAGCCCGTCGGGCTGCCGCAGCCCCCGCGAGCCGCCCAGCGGGGCCCGCAGCTCCAGGGGAGACAGGTCCTGCTTCTCCACCAGGCTGCCCACGCTGCCCATGCTGCCGGCGACGGGCTCGGAGCAGAGGTAGGTGCCGAGGACGCGGGGGGCAGCCTCACAGGTCACAGGGCCCTGCGCTGTGGCCATGGAGGATCAGAGGAGAGCCCGGGACCAGCACTGCCGGGGAGGAGAGCCAAAGTCAGGGGCCCGTCCCGGCCGCGGGGCCGCCCGCCCATGGCTGCAACGCCCGGCACCTCCGAGGGGACCGGCCCGAGCGGCGGGCGGGTCCCCGGTGCCGCAGGGCGCTGCGGAGCCCGCGGGCGC